CTTGATAAATCATTTCATTGCAGCTACGGATTGTGATTGCTTCAACATTTGTCAGCAATTTCATAAAACAATCAAGGAAATGTGTGCTCTCCAAATCAATGCTCCTGAAATGATCATGCGTAACATAGAGGTGCTTCAGAGAAACATTGCAATCCATCATTACCAGAATAATATCCCATAGTGACATGTAAAATCCACACCCACGTATTGGAGCATCAGCAGGACTTGGATACATATCTGCATGCCTGTATGGAGTGAGATGAGGACATCTGTGTGCACAACGAGCTACACAATGAATACTGTAAGTGGAGTCTGTATTGAAGCATTGGTAGATATCAGTATTAGCTGGATCACTGTTAAATGTACCCATAACATAATAAAGATCAGGCATGAAATGACGATAGATGCATTCACAATCTTTGTCCTCATATCTTGACATGTTAGACACTTGAGAGAAGAAGAATACAGCATTAAAATAAGCATCTTTCCATGTGACACATTCAATTCCTTTCTTCATTAGTTCCTCTACTGTATCAATAATCCCAATACCCCCATATCTCTATCTTTTTCTTAACGTGCAGATGGTGCAGTGGTAGTCTCTCATTAAATATGTACTCACATATCTCATCCATTGATATACCAATAGTAACTGGAGTACCCTCTAACTTAGCCACATCTATTGCTGGTAACAGACACAGCAATCGATTACGAATAGAACGAGGAAGCAAACCCAAACAACTAACAGGAAGATACTTAATATGTTCATCTAGATCTATGTCATCAGGAGGCTCAAACTTGATGTGTCCTATGATGTACAATAGACACTGCAACTGAAGAGATGCTGGGTGAGACATCACTCCTGTCTTCAGTCCTTCCCAATAATGTGTCAACTCATCCTCAGAATCTGTAGTAGATCTATCACTGTACTCTGAGCTTATATGGGAGTCTTTGTCGAGGCATACATCTGAGGAACCCTCTTCTGAGTGTAGATTATCTGCCATTTGGTGGGAGTCAATCTAAGCCGCCCTGTAGCTACCGGTATGCCCACATTCACACTCACTATCCATTCCCATATAATCTATTGTTACTTACTGTGCAGGTGCCTTTTATCATTAAGGAGGAGATTATAATGTTGTGACTGAAAATATAAAAGTACTGGAATTTGTGCCACTTTGACCAGAGGAGTCATATCCAGTCCTTTCATCATTGACGTAGGAGGAACTGCAACGTATCCAGGTATGAATGATCATGTTATATTAGTTTATAAATGTAATCATATATTTGTAGTTGACTATCTTTTTTAGGATATTCATTTGCAAATGCTTTCATATCAAAACAGCACTTGTGCTACATTCTACATTGTGGATGACGATACTAAGGAGAGGAGATATGAGGAGTTCTATATGTATATTTTCAGAGTATTTCCTCGGCATAAGAACTTGTTGGTGAACAACTCTTGGTCAACTGTTAGGATACAAGATGATGATGTTTCCATCACATAATTTATTTTGTTGATTTTGTCATTAATTTTGATTGATTAGGCATCAGTCCATTTATAACTGGATATTATTAATAAACTAGTCTAGCCTATTCTGAATAAGATTAGTAAAAACCACTGTGATGTTAGAGGCAAGATGGCTCTTATTTTATTATCCTTGGCTTTGCTCTTTCTCTCAGGTGAAATCACTAATTATAATTGAGGTAATAATTGCAATTGGTGCATACTTAATAGTTCAGTGTCATTTGCAAGATTATGAAATTGTGCAGTGTTACTCGTCCACTTATAACTGTGTTAGTAATACTAATGGAGTCAGCCTTCCCGTTATTGACTGCTGTAATAGAACTGGTGGAGGATATGCCAGACATTCTTCATTTACAGGAATATGGCAGTCAGCTCAGTGCAGTTCTCTATGTATTGGTGAGCTTATTAACAGGCTGCTTTGCAACTAGTACAGTAATGTCACTAATGTGTAATACAATATCTTTGTAAGCCTATTCCCTGTCTATTCTGAGTTTTTAAAGATTTATTTGATAGACCCACTGCCCCTTTTTGATTTTGACGTTCAAACATTAAAATGGAGAGGGTTTGGTATGTATTTTGATTTATTCTTGCTCAATATACCACATTCTATTTTGAAGATTAGATTTTTAAACTAGATCTAGTCTAGTATAAAAGGATATGTGATGTGTATATTGGCGCATTGACCTTTTTGAAACACTGATATTTGTATTTAAGATTGCCCTTGCTAACAGTTACTTGTGTAGAATGTACCCACAGCTTCAATATATTAATTGCATTTTTTCTTCGCATAGTTATTGGATTTGATCAGTCATTGATACGTTTTGTGTCAAGAGATG